TTTTTTTTTTTTTTTTTTTTTTTTTTTTTTTTAACGTTCACAACTTTTTTTTTCTCTTGCCTTCCTTGTCACACTGAGGGCAGCAAAGCTCATTTAAAAAAAAAAAAAAAGCTTAAATTATGGAGTAGCAAAATAACACAAACTTCTAATGTAGGATAATACAACAAAATCTTAGGGAAAGTATGTTCTTATGAAATAAGTATGTGTTTTGTCAACAAAAATCCAGTGTCAAATAGGCAGTGTGTGTTTCAAAAGTTGACATGTAGCCAGTTCAGAGTATTAGTATATATATTATAAATAATACAATATTTGATGATGCACAGTTGAGATGTGGATCTTGGCATTTTGCTGGTGCCTCTCCTGGGAGTGTGGGGCGTGGGTAGGAGATGGGTGCAGAGAGGGGAGGCTTTGCTCCATCCCGTCACCCTGGCAAGTCCATGGAGAGCTGCCGTGGTTGCTGATGCCTGTGGAGGAAAAGCGAGCGTGAAAATTCTGGCAGGCAACTAGAGCCTGTTTTTAAAAGAACATATTCAAAGATAAGTGTTATGAAAATAACTCGTTTGCTGATAAATTTATCTACTTGGAAGATGAAAATTTAAGTGAAAAATAGACTTATCTGGGTAGCCTAACTCTTACCACTGGTGATAGGAAAATTGATAATGCAGTTTGAGACTGACAAAGCAAGTGCTGTGCTTATCACGGCAGACTTTTGTATTGTGTTGTCTTGCGATTTAGTGCAACAAATCAGATTAAACTCTCTAGAAACGCTATCTTAAGTGTGCTTCGCTGTGCAGTGGAGACTTTGGAAAGTAATGCAAGTTGAGCAGCTTTTGATGTCTGTGCTCAACTATAGGCTTTTGTCAAGGACTTGGATGGCAAGAAGTTACAAGTTTGGAAGGTGTAGGGACAGTGCACAGTACCATGACTGTGCCAGTGCACATAAGTGCTTTTGGGACGTACTTTTGCCCATTGTCAACCATTCCTGAACTGGAAAACTTCCTCTAGCCATAGATTGAGACAGAATTAATGGGCTTTTAAGTACCAGGGAGGCTGAGGATCTCCGTCGTGTTCAGCTGCAGGTCCTGGCTGGACCGGCGCCTGCGAGGGGCAGGGTGGTGGACTGCTGCACCTGGAAGCTGAAGAATAGGACTTTGTAGCCCCGTGGGTTTATCTAGTGCACTCCACTGCCAGGGGATATGTGTTAGGCTCATAGGGCATTTGGTCAGTTATTTCTTGCTCTCTACTTAAAAACATTTAAGCTTACTGCTAAAGAAAAATACCATTGTCTGTTAGTATGACTGGAACGAAAGATGAATAGCGAATTAGCCTTGAGCAAACTGTCAATCTGACTTTGATAGGCCATCACTTAAAAGGTTCTTTTATGTTTACGAAAAAGCATGATGTCAAAGCCAGGGGAAGAAAAAAACCCCAATAATTAAGGCTAAACTTGCATAGCTTTCAAGAGGAGCCCCTGTGTGAACTGTTTGTTTCTCTACATGCGTGGCTAATTAGCGTAGGTTGCTATAAGTCTGAGCAGTGACATTCAGGTTTCTTCTGCTGTTTTGGGGCAGCTTGTTTATGGTGCTTTCGTATGCGAATCCCTCAAACTGGAATAGTGTAGGGCAAAGGATACTGCAGTCGCTTCTGTTGCAACCTATAAGCAGTATGCTGGAAATGCTTGAGTACAATCACTATCAGGTGAGTTGTTACTACAGACTTATTTTAAAATCTGTTGGTAAGAAGGCTTATGTTATAGAGGAAATCCTGTTCCTCTGGTATCTAGTATGCTTTAATTTCATTTCTTCCACAAAAATAAGTGGGAGACATACCTGGTCACTTGTGACAGCAAGGCACTTTAATGAAACTGTTTTAAAACTAAAAAAATTCTCAGAGTATTATTATATTTTGGTTTGTTTTCTACCTTCTGATAAAAAATATTCATGATCAAAGAAAGCTGACACAGAATTTCTAGGCTATGATGAAAATATTGTATGGAAAAAATTCTTGTCTTCTGTTGCTTATTTATGGTGCGCAAGAATAGTTTGGTATGAGGTTTTTGATATTGTGTATAAAAAAATTCTAAGTACTGAAAAGCTTATCTTAAATATAAAAATAGTTGCTGCTGAGACAGTGATTGATCTGAACTGAAACACTTCTTTTCTTGTATCTTATTTGCATAATGTGTTTATAAACAGGCTGTCTTATTTGTATATGATTTAGGCCATATATCTGAGATATAAATAATTTGGAGGCAAAAAAATGGTAAATTCAATTTTTTTTTAACCAATGTGTTAATTTAAAAAAACAACAACAAATGAACAATCAAAACTTAAAAAAACCAACAAAAAACCTTTTGATCTCGCTGTTACTTGACACCTAATAAAGGATATCAATCCATATTACTTGGTTTTAATTGGTAGCTACTAACAAGTAAAATGAGTCCCACAGTGCAACTTGTTTCTCCATATTCTAGTGAAAACTAAATGTCAGGTAGCTGCAGGTGTGAAGGCAGAGCTGTCTGTTCTGGAGTATCTGTACAAACTGGAGGACTTGAGCATTGGTCTTCAGTGAGAAATCTCACACTGTAGGAAAATAAGAACTTCTTGTTTTACCGTTAAGAAGAAAGTCATTGAAACACTAGCTCATAAACAGATTTCTTGCTACCAGATGTGAATTAGTGAAGTGCTGTTGACTTTCTTTGAGCTGCACAGGTTTGTCCTTTAAGTCAAATGCTTAGCTGGTGTATATGTCACAAACATACAGCTCAAATCGATAGCATGTATGTTGTAAAACAATAAAGCACTTCTTAAATTGTGTCATACAGGTGCAGACTCACCTTGAGAATCCAACCAAGTACCATATTCAGCAAGCGCAGCGGCAGCAGGTAAAGCAGTACCTCTCTACCACTCTAGCAAATAAACATGCCAACCAAGCCCTGAGCTTGCCATGTCCAAACCAGCCCGGTGATCATGTCATGCCACCTGGAACTGGAAGCAGCGCACCCAACAGCCCAATGGCTATGCTTACCCTTAACTCCAACTGCGAGAAAGAGGTAATACACTCTCACTGTGCATATTCTTCAGTAAAACGGAATTGCAATCTGCTCGCTTTCTGTTTTAAACCATCTTTGCTCATTGTTAAGATGATATTTTAAATCCTTTCTGAACTGTTCACTTTGAAAATGCAACCGCTACCTCTGGGTCTGCCTGATGAATATATATTTGCATAGATCATTTTTTAGAAAAACTGTGTCCCTCTAACTTCCTCTTTTTTGAACTATTTTAGCTAGTTTATGCTTATTAAAACTACTCCCCCCCTGCCCTTGCTTGATGCATGCAGTGAATAATTGACCTTTGGAGAATACAAAGCAGTTTTGTAAGCTGTAGCTTTCTGGAATAATGTTATTTATGGCTCATTCATGTAGAAAGAGCAAAGAGCATAGCAAAAATAACTGAAAAACACAAAGCTTTTTGAGATATTTTAGGTAGTTTTACAGTAAAACTTGAGCAAGTCTCTTGCTTAGCTGGAAGGCCAGATTATCCCAGCTAATATACCCTAAATTGTTTTTCATGATGAGCTCAGTGCTGCAAATATAAGACTTCACTACCCCATGCCTAGAAGTCCTTTGCAACCTTGTCTTAATCTTTGCTGGCAAAAACTTAGTTGGATGTTACATGTCTGCTCAGGTGCCAAAGGAAGATGATTTGAAAGATGTTAACAAAGTCTTAAGAATCATGTTAATATTTTTGTAACATGACATATGGGAGACAGTTGTAGAGCTCCTTGTACCCCCTCATCATCCCCCTTAAGACTCTGTGCCAGATTTGTAATACAGATGCACTGTGAGGAAAACGTTACGCAACTTTGAGAAACAGGTATTAACAGAACATGCTTTGCCCATGCAAGAGAAATTACTTGTGCTCCATAGCTTCAAAAGAAATGAAAATCAAATAGTTCCATCCCATCATCCCATTTGTACCAAAATATTTTCTTTTTTTTTTTCCTCACAATATTTACAGCTTCACTTTGCTGTGTCATCAGGCACATGTGTGCATGACACTGTTTCAATTGTGCTCTTTTTGGGACTGAGACTGTGCCATGAACTCAGATCCATTTTTTTTTTTTTTTTTTTTTTTTTTTTTTCTTCTTTTTTTTCCTTTTTATTTCTGCAGGGATTTTATAAATTTGAAGAGCAAAGCAGGGTTGAGAGTGAGTGCCCGGCTCTGAATACACACTCACGAGCGTCATGCATGCAGGTACTGGATGACACAGGAGTTGGAGCACAGGTCCCATTTCTAATGAGCATGTTTCTTTGAAGTTATGTTGAATGAACTTGCCCCATAGTGTCTTTAAGAAGTTGTATTTAAGGAACAAAACAACAAGGTTGTTTATTATCATTGATGTCAAAAGTACATTAAGACACCTGAAGATGGCTAGTGCTTTTCTAGCACTGCAACGCTATAGCAGAAGAGCATACCAACTATGCTTTAAGGTCTCACTTCAGAGAATCTTTTCTAATGCAGCTTTCCCAAGATTGTATGTATATGTTCTTGCCCTGATAGTTTCTAAGACTGCATTTCTATGTAGATCACATTTGCATTTAAAAAAACTATATGAGAAGGTTTTAATCCATCCATGGTAATTCATCCTCCGTAGTCATCCTTCTAATTATTTTTTTTTAAACTAAGGCTTTTTTATTTCTAGTAACAAGACTTTTGATATGGGCTGTAACTGTTAGTTCCTTTCTTGCCCTCATTTCCAGCATAATTCTTTCTGATCACACTTTCTTCAGCTGATATAAAAATCCCATACACTACTATTTCTACCATCAACATTCTGCATTGATTTTGTAGATAACTGTCACTTAAGCTCCTTTTTTTATAACGAGCAAAAAGAAAGTATAGTTGATCTTGCAGGACGTTTTGGAGCACCTCTGTGGGTGCTTTGGAGGGCTCTGTTTCTCCTGACCATGCAGGAGCTTGTGGAGGCACCTTCTAGCCCAGCCCCAGAAAGAAGATGTCTTGCACCACCTAAAACCATCTCCGAGCTGCTCTTGGGTGGTGCTTCCTGGGAGGGCGTGTGAGGGACATGAATCCAGTGGATTCTGTTGTCAAGGGTGGGCAGCATGTCACCTAGCAGCAAGTCTTTGTGTCCTCTCCTTCCCCCACAGGAGTTGGGCTTGGGCATTACTGCCTGTACTCAGCTTTTGGCCCCACAACAAGGGGAAAAAGGTGAAGGGCAGGCAGGCAGTGCTGCAGGGGAAGAGGCGTTCATGCCGTTAGTGTACCTCTACGGGGAGCTATCTCCTCTGCCGTTCAGGGAGGAACAGTGTGTCTGTGGGCAGGTTGGGCAGGGTAGCTGCAGGTGGGAGGAGTGGGTTAGACCGTGAAGCCCCAGCTTTGTCGTGACCTGACTGTCCCGGCTGAAGTGTGGGAGTCATGGCTGAGGGATTGCATTTGGAGCGTGGCGGAACTGCACAGGCATCTCTGCTTGGGCCCGTGCTGCAGAGAGCTGGTGTGGGGCTGCTTTGTCAGGCCTCTGTATCCTAGTGCTTTTGGTAACTGTTCTGTTTTTCTTTGTCCACCTTTTCTGCTGCAGATGGATGATGTGATCGATGATATAATTAGTCTGGAGTCAAGTTACAATGAAGAAATCCTTGGCTTGATGGACCCAGCCTTGCAAATGGCAAATACGGTACAATGGCCTTTTCCTTCTGGTTTCTCTGTTAAGTCTCTTTCCTTGAGAGAATGCAAAACCATAAATGACTTTTCTTCCAAGCAATTAAGTAGTTATTGTATTGTCCCACAGAGTGTAATTAGTTTTTCTTTGAAGAACTTAAGATATACAGTTGCAATGAAAAACATGAATTTATAAATGTAAGCTGGAGTCAGGTGGAGGGAATACAAAGGACAATTTTGCTTTTGTTATTTCAAAGTCAAGCTAGTCCGTGAGAGGACTGTAGCACAGGAGTGAACTGAGCTAACTGGAGTGAGCTCATACCCATCGATATTAAAAATCACTATGAATATTATATTTGGCTTCAGAAAGCCTGGAAGGAACCTCTGGCACCCCAGTTTCCTGTATCTTGTCATGTTCAGATAAGAAATTGTACGACATGCTTAAGCATGTGTTAGCATCCCTATCCAGAGACACTGTAGTGTTAGCTCTAACATCATAGCTTTAGCTTAACCTGATTTCAGATGAGAGAAGTCCCTAGCTAGACAACAGCAAAGATGTTACAAAATTTAGGGGGAGAAAAAAAAAAAAATTTAAAATGTACCTTCAAAACAAAGGGGAAGGAACAAAGAAGCTTAAAAGCTGAATGGGGGAAGGGGACATAGGAAAGCCTGTGACAAAAGGCAAGAAGAACACAAGAGGTGTGAAAGTCAGTGAGTGAGAGAAGGTGCAGATTACCTCTGAGTTGCTGTTTCTGTTTGCTGGTTCACATTGCTACAAGCATTAATATAATCGTACTTTTGGCATAATCTTATTTTGATCTTTTGTGGAGGGTAGATCCAGTGAATTTTTTGCCTTAGGCTTAAGTGCTGTTAGATCTGGCTGAGTAGATGTCTGCCAGTGCTGGCGTCTGTTTCTTTTTTATCTAGTGCCAAAATTTACAGCTTACCACATAGCGTTGAATTTGTAGCATAGGTTTACATTTGCTGACAGCACTTGTCTGATGTCATATTAACCTAGTCCTGTGCTCCCACAGATTCTCACAGTCCTCTTGGAGATGTGGTGCATACTGCAGAAAACAGCCCACCAGCATCCCTTGCTAAGTAGTGCCCTTTGAGTAGATGGAGAAATAACTGCAGAGTCCTACCAGAAAGAATTTTCCTTTAATCTGAGATGACTTGAAAAGTGTATCTGTCCTGGAATTTGAGACGAAAACTCAAAAACCTGTGAAAAATATAATTTTCATTTTTTTTAATTGAGGGATCAGGTTCTTCTGGAGTCCTTCCTCTGAAGTTCCATGGGATTGGGACCTGCTAAATTAGAGGGGACTTGGATTTCTTTGTGCTTTTCTTCCTCTCTGATTTCACAGGGACCCCAGCAGGGTCTCTTTGCTTCCAGGCAAGGACATAATGGTACTCTGCACTCATTTGGTGCAAGGAGTCCATGTAGTCAATCTTACTGCATGACAACAAGTCTTGTAAAGACTGCCTGATCCACATTCACTGTGAAACTTCAGAAATTGCCCACTGTATGTGATGAAGTCTGTAAAATAAGGAAATGAAATTTAATTGACTTCTTTACTAATACATTTAAATTGCTGGAGGCAAAAGGCATATTTCAGTCTCTGAGTTAACCTGGTACCAATCCTGAGGAGACGGAAGTTGAACCACATTTCCCAGCAATTGATTTGGGAAAAAACCAAACCTGACGTAACAGACACTTTTCTTTTGGAACAGGATTTAGCTCTTAAAACACACAACATTTGACTAATAAGGAATTAATGTCTGTAGACTGAGCTAAGTAGAGGTGGAAGAAATAAAGAGAGGAAATGGTCTCTAAAGAGACTCAACCTATAAATAGCTGTGCTGAGACTATGACAAAGGCTGCCGTTGTTCCATAACCAACAAAGAACAAAAAGACCAGTTTGTTACATTTGGTAACAGTGCTTAATTGATAAGCAAAATCAGAGATTTCTGTGTAGAGTGAGCTAAGGGAAGTTTCCAAGTACCTCTTAATTGAAAAGGCTCACTGCAATCAACTGCTTGTGGAAGTGTTTGTAAACTTTGGTATTGGGTCACAAGTTAACTGGCTTTGCTTTTGTAGTGAAGGGTATCACAAAATGGTCACTAGTTTTCTGTGTAGATATGACCTAGTATTTGAATCGCGAGGTACTCTCTAAAGTTCTCTTGTATGCCAAGTTGAGATGACAATTCATCCAACTAATCAATTCTAGGAAGTCTGACATGGAAAGCCACGTGAGTATGTGCAGTTCCACTTCTAAATAGGACTTTTCTGTGGAAGTTAAACTCTAGAAGTAGAGAGAAGTCTTATTGCACGGACTGTTGCTGAGCGTGTGCTTGTAGGGAAGGGAACAACACAATAACATGGTAGGCTGCACGAGCTAGGGAACAGAATCCATTCCAGTGTGTACTGATACCTTAGAAACGGCCTTGTTGATCACACAATTGATGTCTCAGTGATTTTATACAGAGCCGGAATGACCTGAATGTGGGTGCTTGTTTTATTGGTTGTTTAGTGGAGGAGTGAAGCCAAGGCCTAGAAATATGACATAGTGCAAATGAAGGCTTTTTAGACCATGCTATTTCAATAAAGATAACAAGCTAAGCGTGGCATAAGCCACTCTTCCTTTGTTTACTTTTTGGGAGAGTAAAGGTGGATGATCTGAGTGATGCTGTATTTAAGTTTCTTCTTAGACAGAAGTAGCTACGAAAGCCTTAAGGAAAGCATATGTAGGTTGGATGCTACAAGTTTGGAGAAGACAGGGAAGGAACCTCCTTAGCACCAGAAAATTCCATGTCTTTCTCAAAGTTTTGAGATTCCATCTTCCCAATGAAATGGCTGTGAGAGTTTTGAATATTTTCCCACCTCTTTGTACTTGGAGACAAGGATGAAAGGCTTGACTGTCTTAATAGATCAGAGCTGAAATGTTTGCAATCAGTGTTTAATTTTTTCCAATTTCTTCTAATAGGGAGCATTTGGAATAAATGCCTAGATGTTGCTCTGTTGTGTCCATTATAAGCTCCTTTTGTTTTTTTTTTTCTCCCATTTCATCCTAGTGGCTGCTTTTGTGTTCTCACAGCACTGACTTGGCCATCTCAAACCTATGCCCTCAGCGTAGGGGTCCTCTTCCCTTTCCACTTCCCTAAACTCTGCAGTAATGATTATTGGTTTTACATTACAAGTCAACTAATTTTATTCCTCTGGGACCTGAAATATAATTGTGAACAGAGGATGTGCCTCAATTTTAACTGCAGGTATTCTATCCATGTGAGAGATGACCTGAAGTGTTGTATGTGATTTATATTTTTTTCATTTGAAAGAAATTGTGTAAAGTCACACCCAAAGATGTGACTTGCAGCCGTCCTGGAGAAGAGGCCTCTCAGAGGCTTCTACTGAGTGTGGACTGACCATACACGTAGTCACACTCATAGTAAAAAGTTAAAACTGAATCTTTGACCTGTGGAGTTCAGCTTGCTGGGAAAAGTAGTCAAAGAAAGAAGCTGATCAGTCTCTTTCCTTATGGATGACTGATTTAATCTGAGACAGTTGGCATCTACCTCTAATGTAAATTTCTGTGATAATCATTTGTGTGCACATGCAAACCTGCAACGTTTAGCAGCTGTGCAAATTTGTCCCTTTATTTGGCTAATGGTGCATCAGTGGCGCTTGTGCTTTGGCTGTTGCACGGCTCTTGGTTGGGTTCCTCTGGTGCTTGCAACTTCTGCAGCACTTCAGTGTGCACATTCAGCAGCTGCTGCCTGTGTTACTGTCACCTTTTGTGGTGATTGCTTACACAGGTCCTGTTTATTTACATGGAGATCTGCCACAGTGTTGACACCTTTAAAAGAAAATAATAATATATCACGAACATGTAATAAGCAAGGTCCATCTTGTGTTAAGAAAAGCGTCTTGGTGACTGTAACTGTTCACCATGTTTCATTATAACCTAGCTGCTTTATCCCAGCTTTGAGATGCTGGTTTCTGAAAAAAAATAAATATCTTTTTATTCCCTGAAATTCCTAATTAGATTTCACATGTCTGGTTTTGAACTTCAAGTCTCTGGGCTACAAACAAGGTCTTTGTGCTCTCCCCATGCTTAGGAGCATGAATAGAAAAAGTACATCCAAGTCAGAAGGGTGTATGACGCTATAGTTGTGCCTGTGTCATGGATGCATTTGGGGGGCCGAAAGATACAAGGGTCAGCTTGTAGAGCAGTGAGAGTGAGTGGTCACCCTGACATTAATGTGGGAAGGTCACAACTGGGACCGTAGTCTGTGATACACAGCTGTGACCTTAGCTTCATTACAGATGTTCCTTTTTTTTTTATTTTTTTATTTTTTTTAATATTGCATTCAAGAGCTAAGGGGAGGGTGATGAATTGCAAGGCTGAATCTTGCTAAGAATTCAGTTACATTTTTCCTCTGTCACTTAAAGATTGAGTCCAGGGACTTTGTTGTTGGCCATTGTCTGTTCAAGACAGGTACCGGGCGCATGGCTTCTAGCTGGTGGGGCTCCAATGGATGCATATCAACTTTGCTTCTTGTGGTAGCTCCAGATGGCAGAGAAAATTTCTTAAGTCTCAGTCTGGCAAAGACCATCAGTAGGAGTTTAATAGTCCAGGCTGTGACTCACTCCATTGTATTCAACAGCATTATTTACATGGGTGTAAAGTTAATACTTTAATCTCTGCAGGATCAGTGTCTTGGAGGGATTGATTTTCTTTGCAGCAACAGCGATAAGAAGTATTGCCACTCAGATAAGATATCAAAGTGGTTTATACCTGTCTTTTCAAAACCTGGTTTGAAAACAAAAGAGAGATGGGTAAAATAATCCATTCAGGATAAATCTAAACTTTAAATATGTTTCAATTTGAAGGGATAGCTTTGGTAAGCCTTGTTGGAATCCTGTCCTATTTCTGTATAGATCTCCTTGCTTTAAACATAACTAAATAAGAATAGCAGAATAAACAAGTAATTGGGGAAACTAAATGTAAAAATAATTCTCCTCCTACTGATGCATGTTTTTGTTACGTAAGGCAAAAAATAAGTTAAAGTAAACTTAAATGTTTTCTGTGTAGGTAGCTTTCAAATCACATGAAAAATGTGAATTGATTAATATAGTGTTCTTCCTCAAGCATGTGACAACTTGCTAAGTACTTTCACTCATATTCCTGGAAAAAGGGGGGCTTCCTCTGGGAGATTTCTGTGGGCTTTTTCAGATGTTTTGAGGAAGAGAAGTGATGGGGGTACAGATGTAATAGTTTCACAGAAAAGTAGGGAACAACAGTACAGTAATACTGTCAGCATGTTACCTCCTCTGCATATTCTCGAAGTAAGAGGACAGAATTTTCCCAGTGTGCTTTATTCCTCATCCTGTGTTTATCTGTGACTTTTGCTGACCTTATTGCACATGAAAAAGAGCATAGATTTCTTATCAGATCCTAACTCTGTTCTTCTGTACAGAGCCTTTCATAAGGGCAAACCAGTTGATCCTTTTCCTTGTTTATCTTTTCCAGTTGCCTGTGTCTGGCAATTTGATTGACCTTTACGGCAACCAAAGCATGCCTCCTCCAGGACTAAACATCAGCAACTCATGTCCAGCTAATCTTCCTAATATAAAAAGGGAGCTCACAGGTAAATATGTCTAAAATACCACCTTAGAGCAATAGTAGTGTTAGAGCAATAGTTACTTTTTACTTTGCAGACCATTTTTTAGCAGCTGTATTAGCCAGAAATGCAGTTGTGTTCATGTGTGGGCACTTATGTGTTCACTGCTGCAAGAGAAGATAAAGTCCCTAGTTGTTACAGTCAAATCTGCACATTGACAACGTTGTGTCACAGGAAGCTTCCATACATCTCCTGCAGAGCAGTTTTCTAGTTTGGGCTTATTGTTTGCTCTATCAACACCAAACTTTTATCAAATCTGCATTTAAACTGCAACAGGGAAGGTTTAGATGGGACATTAGGAAACATTTTTTCACAGAAAGAGTGGTCAAATAGTGGAATAGGCTGCCCAGAGAGGTGGTGGAGTCACCATCCCTGCTGTATGTGTTTAAGGGTCGTTTAGATGAGATGTTGGGGGATGTGGTGTAGGGGAGAACTTTGCAGGGTAGGGCTGATGGTTGGACTCGATCCCAAGGGTCTTTTCCAACCTGAATGATTCTGTGATTCTGTGAAATCTGGAATCTCTGTGGGATTCATATCCAGAAATGCTTCATGTTGAGGCTTTATTCTAGTAGGGGAGGGCAGTAATGAACAAGTAACCCATTGTAGTATAAAATATGGACACCTAGATCCTATAAAATGTAAAATTAGCCACTCAAGAGAGAGAATATGCGTCTTTTAAGTTGAGGTGAAATTGAGTTATCCTGTAAATTTTTTGTCGTGTGGGTTCTGCCAGCAGTGCTCTGAATAAGCTGTGGGAGGCAGGGGGAGGGAAGTGAGACACTAAAAGCCTCTTTTCTCAAGTGCATGTGTACAAAAGCTAAATAGTTTGAAGGAAGAAATAAGTTTCATATTCTCAAGCATGTTTTATTTTTGTTGTTCTGCTTCGCTTGAAAGGATATAAGCACATGCGGGGTACAGTATACAAGGCAAGATTGTCCTCAAGATGAGCAAATTCCATTCTAGAACCAATGACAAAATCATCTTAATACCCAGAAATGGCTGTTCTTAAGACCAACAGGGAGTCATACTGTATGCAGTATGGTAGAGGCATAGTTTCTTTCTCCTCTGTCATCTTTCTGGGTTTCTGTTGTGAAAACTCATAGGCTGACTCAGCTGTAAAGCAGGTTCTGGGCAGGAATTAGTTTAAGTAGAGCAGTTTTAATAGGCCAGGAGTCACCTCAGGAGGAAGTGCCACATCTCTGAGCTGGCGGATATTTGCATTTATATAACTGCACAAAATTTTCAGAGTTCAGCACCAAATGAAGACACACAAACCACACAATGATTTTTGGCTGCTAGAAAAAGAAGAGCTTGTATAGCAATGGAGCTATGTTAAGAGGAGGGTGGAAGGGCATGAGAACTACTCAGTCCTGCATTACAGACAGTTTAATTGCCCCAACAGAAAGGTAAAGGTAGCTGTAGATTGCAAACTAAACATCTAACTTGTTAGATGTCCAGGCTGGTGGATTTCACAGAATCATCTAGGTTGGAAAAGACCTTGAAGATCATCTAGTCCAACCATTGCTGATTTACTGCAGATGGTTGTGTAAGGCAAAGAAGGCAGCAAGAGAGGGGAAATCATTGAGTGAAGTAGTCTAATGGAAGTCCTCAGTGCGTCAAAATAGCCCTGAACTACGTTAAATGTCTATATGCTACCTGTACACAGAAAGAATTTAGGTGAGTGCTTTTTCTGTTCAAAATAAATGCTATCAGGTTGCATTTCACTTAGGAGAACTTTAGGAATTAAATTCAAATTTAACAGCAGTCACTTTGATCTGGCCAAGCCTTTGTGCAGGAAGCACTTTTGATGGTGTTTTCTGACAGCCAGTGATTTTAAAATCAGCATGTTATTGCGGGCAGAAATTTTATTCCATTTCCTGATTTAGCTGTTTGAGCTAAGCTGGAAAGAGCTTGCAATATTTAAATCTAGCATTTGTCAGAAACTTTTCTTCATCCTACTGTATAAATACAGAAATGATGAAGAACCCCCTAAAGAAACAAGGCTGTTCTCCCAGCGTCTGATGTTGATGATGGTTGTGAGCTCTCGGCTGTAGTTATGTGTAGTGTTTAATGCTTACCCAGGAGTGCAGTCTATCAGTTTTGGCCTTACAAATCTTGTATCTGTTTTATAAGGCAATATCAGATTAAACCCAAATTTGATTAAGACATGCAATGATCTTGTGATCTTTTTTAGGCTCATTTGAGAGCCTAGCATAGGAAAGGATGTGTCTTGTTATGCTGTGTATGATATCGGGTAGCTGCGTATTCTAAGCAATGAAGCATTAAGTTTCCTGTACTCCAGGGGAAACCCTTATCACCTGTTATTTTGAATTGGGTGGGACATAATCCATATTCTTTAATAATGAAGTAATACAGGGAAGAAACTTGGAGTCAGTGAGGGGTTTTGTTTCCGTAATGGAATGTGTGATAGTAGATCGTACACTCATTCCTCCTCACTGACTTACTGTGAAACTAAATAATGCTTGCTGGTTTTAAGATTTAGATGCAACAGGTCGAGGATTAATGATCTCACCTTTTTCAGAAATTAAAAGGGGTAGAGCAAACATGAAAACACTTAAAATTGCTTGAGAAATGTAAGGTCAAATCAGAACTAAAAATAACAAATTTAGTTACGCTTTTGCCTAAACTATTGCATGTTCAAGTCCAATAACAAATGTGTGGAGCAAGGTTATGAGCAGTTCTGAGCTGAGGAGACAACAGATGTGCAACACGGTTGTCACTATTTTTCTTTTTCCTTTTCCTGAAGCACGGACCGTTGTTCTCTAACATTATGGCTAATAAAGGTGTTCAATTTTTCATTTTTTTTCCCCCGCATAATGAGAACAGTTGGCATAGCTGGAAAATACAGTATTTTTAATAGGTCAGTTAAGTTTTATACCTTGAGTCTTGTGGTGATGTGCATGCACGTGCCGCAGAAGGATGCAGCCTTCATTGCTCTGACTCCTGACTGCTTCACATCCTGCACAGGTAGCAATGCAGTAAGCATGCTGTTCCTCTGGTTCAGCTCCTGTGTGGTATGTGAGCGTGCCAGCTGTATCTAAACCTAGGAGAAGGTATGCTGGATTTCAGCAGTTCGTTGTCCTCAGATACCTTGCTGAATCAGAGCTGAATCAGAACGTGGGAAACGTTCTCGTCATGGAAGTCAGTATGGGAGGTGTGGGAAGAGATGTTCTGCAGGGGCAGGGTTGAAGCTCGACATCAGCGTTGTGTATAGGCAATGGCAGCTCGATGTACAGACCCTTCTCACTTGTTGGAATGGGTGTAATAATTGGTTTGACAAACACGGATCAGGCTTCCTGCACAAATGTTTCACAGACTGAAACGCTGTGTTTGAATTACTTTAATTCTAATTACTTCATTCACATGCACAGCATGTATTTTTCCTACAGAGTCAGAAGCGAGAGCGTTGGCTAAGGAGAGGCAAAAGAAAGACAATCACAACTTGAGTAAGTTTTGGTTCTTTTCACTTTGCACCAATTCTAGTAATTATTTTAGGTGTTAAGTGTTCAAATGCTGGTGTTTAATATCTGAATGAGACACTCACTGCATGTAGTATATAGCGCCAGTTCATTATGTTATGCCCATAGATTAACTATCTTGAATTCTTATGAAATATGTGCTTAAATCTACTATTGAATTTTAAACTCTTTTTTTTTTTTCTTTTTTCCAATAAGCCAAGTGGATAGGTAGTTGTTATCAATGGAATTACTAGGAACAACATTTAAGCCGTTTACTTTTGACAAATCCACCATGTGTTTAGGTGAACTAAAAAAAACTAATACAAAATTTTAGATATGTGGTCAGTTTGTGACTTTAAATGTCAGTATGTGTCCTCAGTGTGGCAATTTTATAAATTCCATTTTTGAAGGGAATGTGTATTTCCAAGTTGGAAAAAAATATTTTAAAATTATGAGCTTCTTATGACCTAAAGGATCCTTAAGATGTCTTTTTATACTTTATGTTACTAGAAAAAAGAAAGTATTTCATGCCTTGAGCTATACAGAAGGCTCTTCCATAGCATGAAAAGCTAATGCAAGAGAATTGGTATTTAAGTTTGACTTTTGGATACTCACTGTTGCATCTGAAATTTTAAAAAAGACAGTCTATATTTTGTCCCTTTTCCTGCTTTGGGATTTCTTTGAGCATCTAATTTTTTGTCTCTGAATTAATCTGTGATGCTTTTCCCTAGGAAAACATTTGCTTCTCAGTTAAGTCCTATGTTAACACAGCCATCCTGTTTTTTAGAGTCTGAGTTTAACTCTGCCATTCCAGCAGTCCCACATTTTTATGGTATAGACAGAACTTCTGTCTTAGTGTGTTCCTGTGTAGGAAAGCAAAATAAATTATTGTGTCACTGGATTTTAAGCTTTGGGCAAACATTTCAAAGGTGCTTAAAGAAATCTTTGAAACACTTTATATGTTGTAACTGAGTGTGAATATTACTTGTAACATTTGTGCTGTTTTTCCTAAAGTTGAACGAAGAAGAAGATTTAATATTAATGATCGTATAAAAGAACTAGGCACTTTGATACCCAAGTCAAATGACCCGTAAGTATAATGTACTCTTTGAAACTGTGGGAGGGAGGTGTTAAAAGAAAAAACACAAACCAAACAAAAAAACCTTAGGGGAGAAAAAGAATTTATGAAAACAAAATCCAAGTTTTCTTCTTGGTATTCTGTGACTGTAGAAACGCTTGAAGGTTCCATTATATTTTCTGAAGACTTTTAAGGTTTATTTTTTCCCCTTTTTGAACTTGCTTAAGTTTATATTAATGTGATGATTTTTGTCACAAAACAGTCTCTGTACTGTTGTGCAGCAGCTCAGCATCCAGCAGGACCCTTTGCTTTGGCAGGGCAGTGGTTGATGCTAGGAATGACTGCCCTACCAGAGGTAGAGTTGTCAGGATGTGAAACCTTAGAGTAGTCTTGCTGGTTGCCTGGCTGCTTGTCTTGTTAGATGATTCTTTTAATTTATTAGATATCATAGCTTGGCAAGACAGAACCAATCCCTCTTTCTGTGGAAATGGAGGGCAGTTCATCTGGAAAGCCATCATGGTTCCCTTCCCTGCAAGACAAAAGAAGAAAAATAAAGAGTGTAGCCATGTGTCTGTTCACTGGTAATTTACCAGTGTTTGTGTTTAATTTCCCAGTCGTTCTTTTAAGTAATTTTCCTGCTACTAACTTTTCTTAATGCTTTCCTAATGCTGATTCAATAGCAAGAAACACCTCTTGCTCTGGAACATGAAAGTCTTACTTAAATCTGAATCAATGCCCCATTATGCTTCTGGGGAGAGTTTCCTTTATTTTAAGGCTGCCCTATTTAAGTTTAGAACCATTACCCCTCATCTCATCCCTACACTCCCTGATCAAGAGTCCCTCCCCCTTTCCTGTAGCCCCTTTCAGCCCTGGGAGGCCGCTCTAAGGTCTCCCTGGAGCCTTCTCTTCTCCAGCTGAACACCCCCAACTCTCTCAGCCTGTCCTCACAGGGGGGTGCTCCAGCCCCCTGAGCATCTTCATGGCCCTGTCTTTGGTCTGACAGTCTGAAGTAAACTTTTTTTTAAAATTCAAACTAAGTAAGATGTTGTGGGGGAGAAGATGATGCAGACAGCCTCTCTCTCTAAAGCGGGTGTGGGAGGAATAATGTGGAAGAGACAATATGGGAGCCACATACCCCCTGACTGAAGAACCATCACCCCTAGGCATTTGTATTTTATCGAGAGTTTATGTTTAAATGTATGTATGATGCTGTATTGGGCTCTTCTTTTCCTACTGTAACCCAGCTGGGATACAGTGCTCCCAGGAGGACTATGGCTTGCTCTTTCTTGGAAGCTAAAGGGTCTCAGGTCTTTCTCCCACAGAAGCGCCAGGTCATATATGGTCCTTGTAACTCCCCAGCTGAAATCGAGCATCACCGAGCTAGCAAGCCCTGCGCTGTTTGAGTCTTATGAGGTTTGGTGGTGCCTGTTGTCTTGCAGCCTTACCATAAGGCAATGAAAGGAGCCCCAGGTCTTCACTCTGCACAGTGCTGGTCCCAAACCGTGCAGAAGTCAGGGAGTTGGCCCCAGGGGGCTGCGGAGAGCCCGGGTGGCTGCAGGGCAGCTCCTGGGCTCTGTGTCCCTCGGCTGGCTGCAGGCTGCTTCCCAATACCTACACTCTGGCCCCCTCTAGAGCATTTCACATGCCTTCTGTATTCGTAAACTGGGAATAAATATTAGCCAAGCGTTATGTATATTTGAGGTGTAATCATAGCTGCTGATGTGAAGGTATTGACTATAAAATAAAGCTTCCCCAAGAGCCTTAACTTTTCCTTCTGTGTTGATTTCAAAGGGATATGCGCTGGAATAAGGGAACTATTCTAAAAGCGTCAGTGGACTACATCCGTAAACTGCAGAGAGAACAGCAACGCACAAAGGAGCTTGAGAACAGACAGAAGAAGTTGGAACACGCCAACAGGCACCTGCTGCTCCGAATACAGGTTTGCTGATAAATAAAGTGAAAACACTCTTGATTCTGCAGTCACACTCTGCAACTAATGGTAACTGAAGCTTGTTTGTAGGAATATGGGTTAGAAGGAACCACCATCTTAATTGTGACCAATGCTGAGATATCTGCAGAGATTTTTCCAGGAAAACAAAAAGGAATACATTAGTTTAAAATAAAATCCCAGCACCCTAATAAAGCATTTGTGTCTGGTCTAATTTTGTCCTACCATGGCCAATGTAAGTTGCAAGCCGTACTATAAAAAAGATTTATATGGTAGTGTGTTATTCCTGGGTGCCAGACCTAAGGAATTGGGACTTCGTTTATCATCTGTTTGCTGATAGCGATGAAATTCAGTTCAGCTGTTTGGGATACGCTCGCTTTAATTGTCTTGTTTGTGGAGGGTTTTTTTGACCTGTAGCATTAGTGCTTGTTTTCTTCTGAAGTGGTTTCAAATGAATGGCAATAAATGAAATATTTTTGCTTTTGTTTGTGGGTTTTCTGAATTATGTGGAGACCAATCTAGGCCCTATCTGTCAGACAACTCTGCAGATTGCAGTCTTCAGCATATGATCTCTTACGTCTTCTCTTGATCAGCCTCTCCTGATGTTCTGCAGGAATCTGTTTTCTGGTGGAGGGTAAACACTGCTCACAGGACACAATGGGCAGGGAGGGCAGTATTGGGAACAGACCCTGCAGCACTGTAGCTTATGTTCCTTGAGCTATCTTGGAGACTGACAGCTGTATTTAATGTTGAGGCTGCTCTGGCTTGTCTGAGAGCAGTTGCAGAGAAGCACACCTAATGTGAGGGCTCTGAGAGTTGTCGCAGTAAGACAGCCAAGAGCTATGGGTGTTGAGCTGCTTTTTTTGTCTGAGGAGCTATGATTGGTTGTCTTCCTTGTTCCTTGACGTCTGTAGGACTGTAAAACAGTTCTCCTTTTCAACACTGAAAAGCAGTAGGTGTCATGAATATGTTTTCTCCATGGGTTGTTGCCTTGTTAGATTCACCCAGGTTCCCAGTAGCCTGTATTACACCGAGATTTAGGGGTAAGGACTCAGTTTATTTAATTCCTTTGCCTTCACCTTGAGATGGACAGGAAATCTTAACCTGGCAGCCTGCACAGCTTTTGTTGTCAACTCTGTTCTTCAGGTGGGCAAAGACAGCTGTATATTCACTCCTCTCCATACAAGGTAATTAAAGAAGTATATCCAGAACTGAGTGTAAGAACATATAATGCAGAGATGGTGATGTCCCAGATATTCTCGTGTTGCTGCTCGCCTGCAGTGCGAACAGCTGAACTCTGCGTGCAGGCTGCAGTGTGCCAGGCTGGCTGCTGTGTTGGGAGAGCCCTGAACTGCAGCCCAGCTAATCCACAGAGTAGATAATGAAGCTAGAAATACCTGAGAGTCAAGTGTGGAAGTAAACAGCTTTAAAATAGAGCAGGCTGAACTTCAGCACAATTTTTGTACTTTGTTGAGCAATCTGTTTGCTAGAGTGAGACGATAAAGATGTGCAACCCCTCTGCAGAGCAACATCAAGCAGTGGTATTTCATCGCTAAGTCAGATCACTTTTTAAGCATTTTTCATCTTCCTTTGCATATCCATCTGCTCTGGCTCCTTCTTAAATCAAAATAACATGAAAACCAGGCCCTTGAATAGTGGGGAATACATCTGACAGCAAGTAACCTGAAGTCTGTATTTTCCCTTTTTGTGTTGATTCTGATTAAGCACGGAATAAGGAACTCAGGATTTTCTCACGTTAGCTGATGGAGGAAGTGCTTCCTTGTTCCACCTTCTCTGTTGATCTTGCAGTATGCCGTTACAAGCTTGTTAGCTTAGCTTGAAAGTGGAAAAAAGGCTCTTAATCAACCTCAGTGATAGGAATATCCAGAAACAGTACAATCACAACAGTGATTGTAATTGCCCACCATAATACCTAAGTAGAATCAGACCATCTCTCTTACTGCTGCATTTGAGAAAGGGCCTTTAAGTGAACTCTTCTATTATCTGTCTTCAGTCAAGTGCATCTGCGTGATTAAATGTGAAGGTGAGATTTAAACTTTTCATGGAGATTCCTGGCTGTCTGTGAAGTCTAAGGCCTTCCTCTGACTTGCCTATAGTTTTTCAGTGCAGGAATAGCGTTGCTCAGTTTTGGCTGACCTCTTTACTTCCAGCTCTACCAGACTTGTAGAATTAGAAACATCCCTTCCAGTCTTGCAACAGAAAATGACAAGCATCATATAGACATGCTATGCCTTCACATATGACTCTTTAAAAAGTACTAAGTTACACTTCTATTTTTTTTTTCCCCCAACTTTTAAATGCTTTCCTCACCTGACCTGATGCCAAACTTGCCTGCTGTGGCACTGGTTTGAAAAGAGGCCTGAGGGGAAATGTGTCTGTTCTGCAGGGCGCTGGGTTTTGGCCCTGGCATAGGTTCTGAGAAGTGTGAAGGACCTGTGTGGGGTGGTGTTCACCCACCTCTTCAAGAGACTGATGTTCAGGTGAAAATCTGCAGGGGAGAAGTATACAAGGTACAAGCACTTGTCACTACTGGAATGGGAAGACACAGTTTGTGTCCAACAGAAGGAAACTCTTTAAGTCACAGTACACAAGAGCGTAAGATAATGGATTTTGCTTTCAGAGTTTTTGTTTTTTTAATTTGTCCCTTATCCTCCTTCACAGGAACTTGAGATGCAAGCTCGGGCACACGGACTGTCCCTTGTCCCCTCTACAGGCCTTTGCTCCCCTGATATGGTCAACAGGGTCATCAAACAAGAGCCTGTGCTGGACAACTGCAACCAAGACATCATGCCGCACCACACAGACCTGTCTTGCACTACCACCCTCGATCTCACTGACGGTACCATCACCTTCAGCGACAACCTCGGCAATGTGACTGAACCGACTGGCACTTACAGTGTTCCTGCAAAAATGGGATCCAAACTGGAAGATATCTTGATGGACGATACCCTCTCTCCAGTCGGAGTAACTGACCCGCTACTTTCCTCTGTGTCTCCTGGAGCATCGAAGACGAGTAGCAGGCGGAGCAGCGTGAGCATGGAGGACACCGATCATGCTTGTTAGCATATACTTGGCACGCCTTTCATAAACTGCTTTGTTTCTTGATCAGTAGATTAAATAATTTACCTTTTGTAGAATTTTTTGATTTTTTTTTTTCCTTGTGCTTCATTAGTAGCCCAGTGTGTGTGCGTGTGTGTATATATTATATATATAGGAATTTTTTTAGAATTTTTGTGAAGAAACTTGTATATTCTATTTTAAAACTACCATTGCCTCCAAAATATTGTACAGCATATGTACAGTATCTGTGAACTGGATTCGCCAAGAACTTTGAACTGGTCAATCTACTCAAAGCAATAGAATTACGAATGAAGAGTCTGTTTCTACTGGGGGGGAGGGGGGAGCTGTAGAATTGTAAATGCAACCTATTTACTTGGAAATGAAATGTAAAGTTAAAGAATGTAAAGAAACCAAAAAAAAAAAAAAGTCCAATTTGTAGTTGTATTAATTGAATAGTGCTGCCTTAAAGATACAGTGTCCCTCACACGTTGGTCTTTACATGACAAGTGTTTAGGGAAAAATACCCACCCTACTCCACTGAGAATACAAAAAAAAAAAGATGTTTAGACATCCTGATTGTGTTGATTGTGATATAAAATGCTGTTGCTGAAAACTGCAGGGAGATGCGAGTCTCTTTCTCAGAGTGCTGTTTAATTTTACTCTGAGCTGATTTGGGTTTTCCTTTTGATCATGGTTCGAGTTTTTCTCTTAGATTTTTATTTTGTTATGTAACACGCGTTGATGGCTTGCCGACAGTAAACGAAGCAGGAGCACTGTAAGTCAGTATACACTCTTTGGACAAAAAAAAGTGATACATTTTATCAACTGGGCACATTATGTTGTACATATCTAATTGGCTTTATTTTTTTTAAATTGCATTGTACAGTTTATTTTGATTTGCATGGATTCCTTAGTTATCCTCAATTTTTTGTTTTAAATATATTTGTATTTCATTTGTAAGATTTTTGCCTCTTAATATTGCAACAATTTTTTGACATTTTTAAAACTCATTGGAAGTTTTCTGCGTACATTGTAAACACTTGAAAGGAAGCTTTTCTGCAGGGTTCTGTGTTTTAAGAGAGATTTTGAGAATATTTTGTATATTACAGTCTCAGTTTGAAAATGTTTTTAAACACATTTAAGGTAGAGTACAAATTTAGATTAGTTAATAAAACAACTCTGTAGAGAAACTGAACTTACATATTTATTTTTAGTGATACAGAAAAAAATAGTAATATGCTTGGAAACATAAGTATGTAGTTAATATACCCGTTATAGTAATTTGTGTTTTATTTCAGCACTGGGGCTGACATAAAAAAAAAAAAACAAACAAAGAAAAAAAAAGAGTAAATTACTGTATCTGCAAATAACTGTTACTTGATAACAATGTTATTAATTTTTAACATGCAACAATGTTGTAAAAGTAGTTCGGTGCATTATCTACTCAAGTGTAGTCCTATGCAATAACGGTAGTTATACTTGTATTATATCAAGCCTAGGTGTTTTACAGAGGTGACATGTGGTGTTACGAGCTAGACGGAGTGAATGGATTTCTCACTAGCAGCCTCCAGCTGACTCGCAAGCGGCAGGCAAGCGTATCTCGTTCAGAATGAAGTGCCTTAAACTCTAGTTGTAGTCTTCCTCGACTAGCACTGACTGAAGTGTGGCATAGGAGAGAGCTTTAGGGTGATGTTTTCCAGGACGTTGAAGTGTAGCATGGTGCCTGTGTATAGAAAACAAGAACTTCCTCTTCTCCTTTGTGCTACACTGGAAATTACATAGGATAAGTGAAGCGGTTAGTGACTTGAGTGCCAGTTTGGCAGGCTTTATAAGGAAACCTTGGTCGCAGCAGTTAGTGTTCAGAAGCCAAATGTGAATTGGGTAGCGATGGGACAGCGGGGGACAACGTCGGGAGTTCCCATAGCCTGCGCCGTGGCTCGCTCAGCTTCTCCCCCAGCGTTTCCCCAGGGAAGGCCCCTGGAAGCGTCCCCTGCCGCTGACAGTGCTGGCGGCGAGGGGCGTGGGGCTCGGCGGGATGCAGCTCCTGGGGATGCAGCTCCCCATGACGCTGCTCCGGGGTCTGCGTCCGTGTCGCTCTTTCCGTGGCTGTTGCTGGCTGCGCCCGGCCGTCTCCGTTTCTGCTTGAGCCGCGAGCTGTGTGCGAGTGTTGATGCAACCACTGAGTTGTGGCTTTTTTCTTTTTTCTTTTTTTGAAGGAGGAGTTGGAGTTAGATTATAATGATGCCTCTCCCCCCCACCCCAGACAGCTTTTCGGGAATGTGTCTTTCCTAGAGTAGTGAAGCTCTGGGCCAGGGCAGGACCCAGGAGCTTGCAGGGTGCACTGCAGCTGTCATGGTCCTCGGACTGGGAAATGCTCCTGTTCCCTGCAAGGCAGCTGTGCTGTAGTTAGCTCAGAGTTGAGTATGCGGGTACTGGTGCTGCCGTTTGGTAACGGTGACAGGTAAAGAAAATCAGGGCTGTGAAATGCTTGTAGCTGTAACACAAGGCTGCGTAACCCTTCCCCAGTAAAATGGGACAGCTCTGCAGCATTGTACAACAAAATCAGGGTGTGCACGCTTGAGTGTAGTAACAGAACCACTGAATATGTTGAACAAAGCTTTTGGTTTGGTGCCCATACTGGGCATTTGGAAGTTGAAGTCTAGACTGTGGTATATAAACATTTTTCAGGCTTAAGTGAAACCACTGGTACTTGCTGACAGCCATGATTTCCGGATTTTTGGCTGTATGCTGTGTGGAGATGAGTTAGGATTCAAGGAAAACCGTTACATCAAGAGCTGGATTTCTTGATAAAAGTCGCTGTGGCCCCAGCATTTGTGTTGTGTGTTCTCCATACGTTGTGTTGCTCTGGGGTAACACGTGACTCGGCTGTGCCCTGCTCACTCTTCACCCCGTGTTTCCTTAGGCTACAGCCCTCCTTTGAGTTTGCCCACCCTTTGAATGAACACACGTTGACGCTGCAGTGGGGACATCTCTAGGAGACACGGACCTCCGGGCGGGTGTTATCGGGAGATGTCTTTGCCTGTTTGAGCATCGTGGAACGTGTGGCTATGACGTTTTACAGGGGATCAATGGCAGAGGACAGAGACAGCAATTACAGGCAGGGTTTGGCATGAACTAGGTGGAGTGGGATGGACAGAAGTTGTTGCCCAGTCTGATGATGGTGTCTTGTGTGACACTGGGCTGGCGGTAGCTTCCCTGAGCGGGCGGTTGGGATACCTACCAGTTCTCACTTTGCCAAAGCCATGCAACAAGCAGGAACATGCAGAGTACCATGAAGTTCTTCCTTACTGCTTTTGGCCTATAAAGCAATATTTAAATCTTACAACCTGTAAAAGCAAAAAGAAGGTACATAAGGAAAGCACAAAGCACAAAATAATGCACTTACATTTATGTTGTTTGACATAAAATGCACTGGGGGGGAAGCTGATGTTGATAAAAGTATAAATACCTATATTTCTTGAAAAAGTGACATTAATTACTGCCTCTTGCTATGATGCTTGGTACTGTAATGTTGATATTCATCTGCTGTTGACTGCAGCAATAATTTGTGTATGGTCCATAGCACTGTAAATTATGGATCAATATTAATGTATCCAATGAAATAATTTGAACTGTTGTTCTTGATAGATGGATTAAAGCATTTGGTTTTTCACATACGTCCGTGTAAGCCACTCGTTTTCCATGTAAGTGAATCCTGTGTTTCTGTGCATTTGAAGTCCCAGCAGTGCTCCCGTGTTTGTGACTTGGCGGTGGATGTGTCCGTGTTCCTGACCTGCTGTCAGTCAGCAGCTCTGGTTGTACCGGAGCTGTCCGGTTGTGTTCGTACGGCGGTAGCACGGGGAGGACGGAGCTTTGCAGATACACACCCAAGTGGATAGACCTGGAGCTTGTGGTCCAGCATAAGGACATAATAACAGGTGGACATGGGAAAATGTTATTGCCTCTGAGCTCTTGTGTTTTGCCTCCCTCCCTCCCTTCTCAAAAGGGTGTCTGCCAAAATCACCTGTGGCTGCATCTCCCTTCGCCTCCCGCCAGGTGTCCTGGGTCAGGCGTGGGCTCAGCGAGGCCTCGGGGTGCCTATGCCTCCTTGCCATGCCGTCCCTCCTGCAGGGTCACCTGCCCCCAGCAGCCCTTTGCAAAGCACCTCGCCACCCTCCCCAGCTGACCTGCACACAGGGGGATCCCAGTCCTCTCTCTGCTCCCCCTTGGGTCACTCCTCCAGAACATGCAAACAGCTGCTGCATTATGCCTGCAGCTGCAGCCTGTGCTGGTTAGCAACCACCTGTGATCTTGTTTTGTCTTCCCATCTTCATTATTTCTCCCTGTCTCTCTGTTTTCATCCCTTCTGGTCTTGTTCGCCAACAGGCTGTCGCTTCTGTGCTCACAGCGTGGAGTCCTCACCATCTCTGTGGACGTTGCTGCAGCAGTGGTGGTGGTTAATGCGTATCATCTCATTGGTTTTAAACTGAATACAAACAATGGAAGCTTGGAATTTGGCCTGTCTTCAAAATATGATCCTTATTAAGAGTAGAAAATACTTTATTCAGTTGCAATTAAAAGTGATTAGCTGTCCTGCATCACTCAATTTAAAAAACAACCAAACAAACCATGCTGGGCAAAGGTACCGGACTCTGCTAGGACTACAGTAGAAAAGCCCTGCTCCCTCTTTGGAGAAGACATTTGAGTAAAGCATCTGAGTGTTACCAGCCAGGCTTTGTAATGCTATTTCTTTACAGATTCAGCAGAGTATTAGAATGTGGCATTGTAGTACTGCAGTAGAAAATCTATTTATTAGCAGCCTAGGATATAATTTCTAATTTAAATTTTGAGGTTTTAGATGTATTTTGGCTTTCCTTTTGGTGGTCAGTTGTGCCAGCACTGCATTTGGGGAGTGAATCTCCTGCTGTCAGTGGGAGCATCACCAGGTTTCATCTGGATTGCAGAACCCAGGAGGAGCAGGAAGAAAACCCGTTGTGGGGACAATGGCTGTAAGTGGTTGCTCATTGTGTGTCAGCAGGAGGTGGTAGCAGGTCTGGTTAGAAGCCTTTTAGTTCCTTCAGACAAGCCTGAAAAATTCTGTGCAAGGTAAGAAAATGGATGTTAAAAATAAGGCCACCAAGGCCTGGTGGGGTCTGGTTTGCTGGAAAAGCCCGGTGGCTGGGCTGTGGGACGCTGCGGAGCTCGGCTGTGTGGTGCAGTGGCACAACAGGACCTGCCACCACGTCACTGCATCGTGCTTTCCTTCCGAGGAGATGCACCTGGAGCTCGGCAGCTCCCGATGCCGGACAGGCGATGGTGACCACGCTGGCTCTGCAGGTACAGCTGCTGCTGCTCCTTTTGCTATCGCATCTGGGGGTAGTCCTGGCACTGAATCGTGGTTGTATTCTGTTTCTCCAGCTCCTTTGAAATACATTTGCTTGAAATTGCACGGTAATGAAGTGAAAAAG